GGCCTCAGCGACCCGTTTGTCCGAATGGAGCAAACTCAAATTACTCAATCACCCTCTCGCTTTCCACGAGGTAACTCAGCCACATATCTATCACGGGCCATAATAACCGTCTGATCAGGATCTATCGGATAAAACAGTGGTGTACCGTTTCTGTAATTAAAAAATGACATATGCCTAAAATAGGAAGAGGCCCGGGAGTCCATCTACTGACGTTCGGTTCTAAACAGGATATTGCTAATTCATCAGATCAAGGACCGTCCATTTTCCGCTAACTTCGTGATCTTATGATGCGTGGCAGCGGGGCACGCTGTTCGGTGTCTTGGGCTTCGATACGGACGAGAATCCTCCCGTTTTCCGCCACCTGTCCAAGTCACCGCACCAAGTTAACGATGTTCATCAAAGCTTGCACTTCCTATACCTGCTTGCCACGTGCACATTGAAAGCTGTTCACTCTTTTTCTTGAAATAAAAACACGCATCAATTAAAAAAAGGCCAATTTGGCTCCTATTAACATAATCAAATAAAATAATGAGTACATCATCAGCTTTAAAATTCCATGGAACATCACTTGTTTCATTTAGGGTTTTCACAACTTCTAGAGCATCAAATCTAACCAAAGGTCTCTTCCAATTAAATATCTTTGCTGCAAGAGGGGTTTGTGAGAAGTCCAATGAAGTGGAAATGAGCTCAAAATTAGGGAAGAGGGAAAAGATATAGCCCCTACAAGGATTTAGTTGTTGGGCCACTTTGTACCTAAAAATTGCATGATTTTTTTGTTGATGGGAGAGATTTGGTTCCCCAAGAGAATAATGATAGTGAGGAATGTGGAGCAAATGCCTTCAAGTAATCTTCTTCTTTTTGCCTTTGCATTGCTAGTGCTCTCTTTGAGACCTTGTGTGATAAGCAGTCACTCAACTAAAGGTCATATCGGAAGAAATAGAACAAAGGAGAAAAGGGTCATGTAGAGTGCACTTCTCTTTTGAAAGTGCTCCTTTTTCAAGCTTTTTTTCTTTTTTTTTTGGGTTTTTCGAAAGTGCTCCTTTTCCATTTCCCAAATAAAGAGTCCTTTTATCTTTTTATAATATTTAATATATCATTAACATCATTGATCCAATCCCTCAAGTATAAGGCTTATACTATTAATTATAATATTTTTAAATGTGTATGTTATTTTTTTACACCTCCATCAAACACATTGTAATCAGACAAATATGCTCAAAATATAATATAATTTTAATTTAATTTTTTTAAAATACAAATAATTATTCTAATCTTTTGATGAAGAAAAACAATTGAGTATGAGACTTCTATGATAGTTATCAACATATTTACAGTATTTTAGAGACATCTAATGAAAACATTAAGGACACATTCAAAAATTTTATAACTTAAGCAAATGGACTCAAAATCGAATAGAAATAAGTCCATATAAAAATTTTAAAATATATATACTTATTGACATACTAAGCATAGATTTTACCCAAATACCTTATGGATCGATCTATTTGGTGAATCAGTTTAATCCCTCGTATATAAGATTTACACTTTCAGTTGTAATATTTTTAAATATATTTTTTTTTTACACCTTCATCGAATACACTATAATTGAGATAAATATACTCAAAATATAATAGAAATTAACTTATAAAAAAAAAAATTTCTTAGTGGTTCAAGAAGAAAGATAATTGAATATGAGACTTGTATGATAGCTATGAACATACTTATATTATAGTATTTTAGACATATGTAATAAAAAAAATTATAGTCATATTCAAAAATATTATAACTAAAATAAAATAGACTCAAAATAAAATAGAAATAAGTATATATAAAAAATCATTTAATATATATATATATATATATCTTTATTAGCTTATAAATAAGAACAAAGAAATAGGAATATTTATATGTTTATATAAATATTAATTTACAATCAACAAATTAAATTGATTCATCATAAGGATCGAAGCAAAATCAATGGACCAGTAAGAAAAATGAGAGTTATTGTTGTGACATGATATTCCATAAATTTTAAAAATATAGAGATGCCTTGGGAAATAAAAAAAAGGGAAAATTCAAAAGTGGAATTTTTTCTGACATTTTATTTTATTTTAAGAATGATTGTTGTTAAGTTGGTGATAATAAGAGTGAGGGTTCGAGGGGGAAAGTTATTGACATTATTATATAATGACAAGTTACAATTTCTTAACTATTTTGAGATCCATTATATAAATAATAACAATGATAAAATTATAATACCTAACTATTTAAAGTCAGCTATATGGATCTTTTGTCGCTCGGATATATATATATATATATATATCCTTTCAAATATTTATTTTTCTTTAAATTTAAAAGAAATATTAAAATTCATCTTAATTTTATTTATTTCATATAATTAAAAATTATAAGTTAACCATAAGGATGGCTATCCCTAAATGATCAATCAGTATGTCGGGTGTCATTATAATTTGTAAAAGAATTATTTTTTTACAAAAAATAAGTAACAAAGGTGGAATAATATTTGTCAATGATATGATATCATATTTAAAATTTATTATTTTTATAATTAAAAGTTCACAGTTTTTTTCTTGTTATTTTACCACTGAGATTTGTGCTCTCTTTTGGTAAAACACAACGCCATGTGTGGAAGACCAATTTACTTGTCATCCTTGTGCTTGTGGATTCACAACCGGAGTGTTACGTGTTACACTACATATTGCAAATATGAACTAAAATCTATTGACAAATATTTATTTTTAGTGAATAGTGAATAAGGTTCAGCGTGTTGAGAAGTATAACATCATCGTCTGTGATGAATTATAATTCATTATAATTCATTATAATTAAGGCTAATAAAGTCTTATATGAATTACAACAATGGTAATTACATATTACCACATATAATTAACTATTATTAGTATTTCGATATTTATACTTTAAAAATTATTATAGGATTCCCTATACTTACAAAGATGAAACATTTAATCTTAATTCTCTTTATGTCATTAATTTTTTCGATGGAAAAAAATACATGTGACAACACGTGCATGAAAGAAAATAATAAAAATATAATTTGATTAACTTTAAATTATTAATTTTATATAAACTTCCCTTGATCGATTTTTTCCTCCTCTTCTCATTCTAATCTACTCGCCTGTCGTCTGCCACACCCGGATGCCCATCGCTCACTTGTCGGACTCGCTTGTCCGTCATACCTACTTGATCACCCCTCGTCTGTTGGACCTGCTAGCCCGTGGCTCTTGGTTGCTAGCCCGCCAGACCCACTCGCCCACCGCACCTACTTGCTCGTCACTTGCCACTTGCTCACCCGCTCACCCGTCACAATTTTTTTTTTTATGAAATGATGAGAAATAATGTTTTTCTCTCTTATTTTCCTTTATGAAATTGAAGTGTTTGTGTTGGATGTAAAATCTTATTTCATTTACCCGATTACGAAGGTAGCATGACAAACAAAAAATAATAAAAAATCTGTGGCAACAAAATGCTGGAATCGATGTTGTGCTGTTTCAGTTATCTTTGAAATAAAAAGTAGATCTATTATTTTGTGCCATTTGTTGTGGAGCTCATCGAATACTTTTTTTGTACGTTTGCTTTCTTATTGTAACTTTGTTTACATGAGACTCATTAAATCGAGATATCACAACAACAAATCACATTCAAGTTTGTTCATTTGCTTACATGAGCTCATATCAACATGAAAGCGATAACAATGATAAAAACTTATATGCTTATTGGTTCATGAACTTTGTCATGCCTCATTGGAGTTTGACTCACGATGGCAATTTCATGTCAATCTCTTATTTCTATTGGAAGTTGTCTACCTTTAGAGATGACACCTTATGCTACATCTGTAGTAAATATTATAATTAAATACACATATGAAACATAATAATCACAGTGGCATTTTTTTGTGTAAAAATTGATGACGAGCAGGTTGGAAAGAAGGGTGATGAGCGAGCAAGCGCAACGGGTGAGCGGTGGTCGAGCAAGTGTGACATGCGAGCGATGGTTGAGCAGGTGCGGCGGGTGAGTGGGTGTGACGGGTGAGCAGGTGTGGCGAGCGAGCAGGTGCGACGAGCGAGTGGGTGCAACAAGCAAGCACGTGTGGTGGGAGAGCAACGGGCGAGTAAGATCAACAGATTCGACGGGTGATAGATAAGTAGGTTGGAACAAGAAAAGGAAGAGGAAATAAGTCAGAAAATTTTATATAAATTTAATAATTTAAAGCTAATTAAATTATATTTTTACTTATTTCATTCATGTCCTTTTTGCACGTGATAACACATACAGAAGAAAAATTATGGTTAAATATTGATCTTAATATTATTTTTTAAAGTATAGAGATCGAGATGCTAATAATAGCTTGGAGGTAATTTGTAATTTTGTCGGTACAATGTTACGACCCTTACTTGAGTATTGAGGACCTTAAATCCAAACAGAATTATTTTTGCAAGTTATCTCAACCTTGATGCATACTTATTCAATCAACGAAGAAATCTCATAATTTTTTTTTATTCATTAACATTTTTATAAATTTTTTATTATATTAAATCGTTCGTAGAACTCGAAACTCAATAATGCACTATTAGATAAAAAATGTTATAAAATAAAAAAACATACTTATCACAAAGGTGCCATCCAATAAAATCAATTAGTATGATTTTTTAGGTATATTATCCAATAATAAAAAAATCGACTCGAGGATATTTAAAATTTTTATCGTTATACATTCATTTTATAATAATTTACAATACCATGATTATTAATTCTTGACACCAATTACCTAATACAATAAGTCAATGATCAAAGAAGCTACTATATAAGAAATTAAAAGAAAAGTTTTATAATTAAGATATTGTATTTACGGTTTCGAGGATTTGAAATCGAAGACAATCTCACTCGGTAAAATTGACGCCCTTCGAAACGCTTTCGAGACACCCCCGCATATTAAAAGGAGCGAACTCTATCGCCACATGTCACGAAAGAAGCAGCCAAAGCTGTTTTGGTATCTTCGTCGTCGCCCTAACCCTAATCACCCCATCACCACCCACCCCTCCCCCCCAAATCGAACCATCGTCATGGCCAGCGAGGAGTCGCCGTCGCCGACCTCAAGCGGCAAGCACTGCCGTTCGGCAGACGATCATGAGGCCGAGACATCGTCGAAGCGACGGAAGCACCGTCACCGTCACCATCACCGCCATCACAGCAGACGCGGTCGCGAGAGTGATGACGGGGCCGAGGAGGCCGCTCGGCTTGCGGAGGCGGTGACTGCTTCTTGTCCCGTTCCGAAGCCTGCTGATGAGGAGCGAGAGGAGGGTGAGATTCTCGAAGATGACGAGGAGATGGCCAACCTTGATCATACTAAAGTCGATGGCTTCGTGACCGATGGGGTTTCCGACTCTGGATCGGGTGAAATCAAGCCTGACGGCGTCGATGTTTATTCCAATCTGGTCCGTTTCAATCTTTCTCGAATACATCTTCCTGAGTTGGGATCTCGCACTTTTTTTAGAAAATATCAGTGAATTAGTAAGCATTTTAAGCTAGCATCTGGTGTGTAATTAGATGAAGCAATTAGAAAAAAAGCTTATTTAGTTTTCTAATTGTGCTTTTAGGATAATATATGTGCATGCATGTATAATTTATTGTACTTCTTAACTTAATTCTGCTATTTTCTCCCATATAAGCAGTAAGAGAAATCCTAAGTGACAAGGCTTGTTCTCATGGACAAAGAATCAAGTTAGGCTTTGTCATATTGTCCAAAAAAGGAGCTAGGAAGAAGGCCTCATTGTATGTGTTGTCCTTAAGTTCATGCTTGTATTAATTCAGTCCTTTTATGAAACCAGTTATGCTATATTTTCTTCAATATATAATTATGAAAGTACCTGACTAAATTAGAAAGTGAAAAGGCTTCCTTTCCCTAGTCAAAACTCAAAACTTACACAGTTTTCTCATAAATTTCTTCATTTTGTTGGTTGTTTAGTGTTCATTTTCTTTTTTAATACCTAAAATTTGGTCTATCCTGGAAGAAATTATCAACATGTATTGTGATCATTGCAGATTGTGCCTGGGGTGAAAGATAGTTCTGGGAAAAATGTTTTGGTGCTTAGTAATAAGCAGAACACACTGAAAGATGAAAAGATGTTGGACCTTGCTTGGTCATGTGAGAATTCTAGTTTGAATGATACAGCTTGGATGGAGGTAGATACGTCAGATGGAGAAAATTGTGTCTGGAAGGCTGAGAGTATAACAAAATCATTAGAACTAAATGACAACAAGCAAATGCAAACTGACAGAAATGATTCAGAAAGTCAAGTAAGATCAAGATCTCCGGTTTCTAAAGAAAGTTCTCATGCAGCAAAGGACAGGATGAGTTATGACCATGTGAAAAAAACTTCTGACAGTGACTCAGATAAGGTTGACTCAAAGCAGTATATGGAGTCAAAGGATGCTAACAGAAGAGCAACTGATAGGAACAGGTCAGTGTCGCCCAAAAGTTCGCAAGAAAGGTACAAGAACACTAGAAGGTCTCCAGCGTCCATCAGGTACCATGTTGAAGACAAATATAGGGATAAGTCCAGGCCTATTGATCATAGAAAGAGGAGATCATATGAAAAGGTCTCAGAGCATTCAGACATGGGTGATGATCAAGTTGGTTTGCAGGAAAGTAAGAGGGATTATTCCAATAGGCAGCATAAGTTGGACAGATGTGCAGCTAGAAATCGAGTAAGTGATATAGAGATTCCTAACGAAAGAGAGAGTAGTGGCAAAAGAAGACATGATGACAGGCACAGAAGTCAGGAAAGGGATAAGGAGAGGGAAAGAAGTAGTAGTAGTGTCAGAGACACAGATAAAACACAGTTGGATAAAAGGTCTCACAGGGAAAAAGAGAGGAGTAGCAATCATAGCAGATATGACAGACAAGCAGACAAGCATGAAATTTGGGACAGAGAAAGTGGGAAAGAAAAATACAGCTTCAGCACAAGAGACAGAGTAAGAGATAAACCAAGGGATTTGAATAGGGAGAAATATGTAGAGAGGGAGAGGTTAAGGGAGAGTAAGCATGAAAAAAAACGGGATGATAGTGATAGAGATAAGAATAAGTCTAGGGACAGGGAAATTATTGCTCATAAGGGTAAAGAACATGGTGATCAAATGGAAACAGATAGGATTAGTAGCAGGTATAGACATAGGGAATCTAGGCATCCAAAGTACGATGAAGTAGAGCATCACAAGGATAAATCACGTTCGGAGGCTGGTTTCAAAAAAGACAATTCTGACAAAGACACACAAAAGTCTATTAGGTAGGTATGACTTAAATATTCTTTGGATCGACATTTTGGAAGATTTCTGTATCTTATCTGTCTGCTCGTTTGCTTATTTGTTTTAATGTGTTACATGATGGTTGTAAGGGAGGAGGAGGAAGAGGAAGATTACCAAGATAAAATTGAACAACAGCTTGCTAAGCAGGATGAAGATGATGTTGACATGATTAAAAATGAGAGCAGAAAAAGGAGGCAGGCTATCTTGGAAAAATATCAACAGCGGCAGCTACAGCAAGTTGAATCCTCATCTGATGGTAATGTGAATGGTAATACTCTATGTCCATCAACTTCCATAATACTTTTGATTTAATGTATTGAGGATTTATTTATAATTGTCATCTAAATGAAAATTATCATATTTATAATATGAAGAATCTGAGAAAGCCACTTCGGATAAGGAGAATCTACAGGGATTGCTTGGTATGAGTGTTGATAACAAAGTGAATAATGAAGAGCTTGAGAATAGGGATGACTCCAGAAATGTATTTGATGTTGGTCCATCGTTTTCTGTGGGAAAGTCACCTGTACAGAATGGAGATTTAGCTGATAAGAAAATGAACAATGTTGGGGGACTTGGAGAGGGTACTCCAAAGGTTGGTTCTTGTGTAGCAGTATGGTACATTTTTTTTTGTTAAAATTTATTTTCTAAGTTGTTTGTTTTCTTCAGAGTGAAATATCAGCCGATATGTTTACTGATGACATGTTTGGAGAATCACCAGCTGGAGTTTGTGTGAAGGTAAGGCTCTTGTCCGTATGTATCTAATTGTTTACCAATCTAGTTTTCTGCTTTATGCCAATTGGATTTTGGAATAATACAAATTTTTTCTTTAGTCAATTTTTTTTAATGGTAAGTATTCACTTTAGAAGCTTGTCCCCTCTTTCCTGTGGAAGAGGCAAGGGCAGTGGTTATGAATGTATTTCTGGGTGGGTAAACAAAATATTAAATAATGAAAAGTGGGCTGATACTTTGAGTGCCAAAACCAATTGGTTTGGGTAAGAGTGAGGGTTGACGGACAAATCGTGGAGAAATTAGAATATTGAACTGGGAATTGTCAATGCAATCCTGAGGTACTAGAGGTTTCAAGATGAAAGAGGATGTGTGGAAGGAAAGAGAAATCTGTAGGTTAGAGAGAGATAAAATGCACACAGAATAAAATGCTGGCTGAAGTCTAATTATTCAGCTATTAAATATCTATATAATTCTAAAAAAGCTCACACAAGAATGAGAGGAAATTTAGGCATAATATTCTCCTGTTTGCCTAAAAGAATTGTAGAACTTTAGTGATACAGCCCGGAGATAAGGGAAGTTATAGTCTGAAACATATAGCGGTCATTCTTTCATTTAAACAATCATCTTGATCCTTCAAGTATTGACCATTAGTCATGAACTTGGATTTGTAATTAACTGGTAGGTTTTTGTTCTTGATGTCATCTCATGATTTCATTTGCACTTCTCTTGCTGAAAGTCTTAGTATTAATGTAGCTTTAGATTTGTTGTTCAGTAATTTTTTTGAAACCAAATGACCATATGGCCATGTCATATTTTCTTTTCCTAGACAAGTATACTTGTTATTAATTGGGTATTGTGGGATGCCAGTTTTTTATGTGCACATAGAGTCCTCTTTGTTTGCATGTCTATAGCTTGATGAGTGGATAAAGTTTGCATAGACTTCATTACATGCTTGGACACCCTGCTTTATCAATTTTTTTTTAAACATTGAACAGTGTTTATCTTAGTTTCTTTGATCTATTGAATAGATTAAAAGTGACTTTCAACAAATACCACATGGCATCATTGGTTATACTTTTCCTTTTCAGATAAGACTTTGTTGTAATATCTTCAAGCATTATACTTGATTTAAATTGTTATTGATGATGCTGTTTTTGAATGTATGTGCATTCTTCTTTTTGCAATTGTCTTTTTGCTTGGTGTTACTATTGATGTGACTTGTCCGTGAAGTTTTGGACATTGTCAGTTCTGTTTTCCTATTTATGTATTTAAGTATATTACAAGGTAGTCAACAATTGAGGGGTAAAATTGATAGCTTGTACTACTGAAATTGTCATATTATGTTCTGCTGTCTGTTACTTATCATTTGAGCTTTGTTTAGGGAAAGTGTGAAGGACCACAGATAGACAGAAGTTATCTTCATGACAACTGGGATGATGCAGAGGGTTATTATAGTAAGTTCAACTAACATCTCTAGTGAATCAACCTTTTCTTAATACTTTCCTCTGATTTTTATGATTGTCTACCCTTCATTTTCATAATTTCAAGTTGGTTTTTTTCTGCAGGTTACAGGTTTGGGGAAGTACTCGATGGTCGCTATGAAGTTGTTGCAGCACATGGAAAGGGTGTCTTCTCAACAGTTGTTCGTGCTAGGGATCTCAAGGCTGGGAAAGGTGACCCTGAAGAAGTGGCTATTAAAATGATTCGCAACAATGATACCATGTCAGTGAGCAAACTCTACTTTTTAGGAGGGAACTAATCAAATTTTAATTGTGTCCTTTCATTTAACCTTTTCTTTTGTAACTTGACATAGGTACAAGGCAGGTCAGGATGAACTTGTTATATTGAAGAAATTGGTAGGCGCTGATCCCGAGGACAAACGTCATTGTGTTAGGTTTCTTTCATCTTTCAAGTATCGGAATCATCTTTGCTTAGTTTTTGAATCTCTTCATATGAACCTTCGTGAGGTTCTAAAGAAATTTGGTCGTAACATTGGGCTAAAACTGACTGCTGTGAGGGCCTATGCAAAGCAGCTTTTCATTGCGCTGAAGCATCTCAGAAATTGTGGCGTTCTGCACTGTGACATTAAACCGGATAATATGCTGGTACATTGTCTCCATTATGTTTTATTTTTGTCGTGTCCTTTTTCTGCTAGTGAAGACTTATTTTTGTGGGTCTGTTCTTGTGCTGGTTTTTTTTTTTGATTTTATATACAGGTAAATGAGCCCAAAAATGTGCTCAAGCTTTGTGATTTTGGCAATGCTATGTTCGCGGGTAAGAATGAGATTACACCCTACCTTGTTAGCCGCTTTTACCGTGCCCCAGAAATAAGTAAGTTCTTCTTTCAGCATTCTCTACTTACTACATCATTTTTAGGTCTGGTCTCCAGAGTCCATTATTATTTTTTGCATATGTTGCGCATACAGCACATGATTGCATGTATTGAGGCTGTATGGTGTGTATTCATGCTGTGGGTCCTAATTTGTTTGATTGCTAAGTGGTAACATAACGATTATGTTCTTTCTTCTACAGTTCTTGGATTGCCATATGATCATCCAATGGACGTGTGGTCGGTTGGTTGCTGTCTATATGAACTGTACACAGCGAAAGTACTCTTTCCTGGTCCATCAAACAATGACATGCTTCGACTACACATGGAGTTAAAGGGTCCTTTCCCCAAAAAGATGCTTCGGAAGGTGATAAAGAATCTGTTGGCCTTATCTACTTTTAACAATTGGGATTTATTTTTATTTGGTTAACACCTATAAAAGATGTGTCATCAAATCCCAATCTAGTGTGCAATCTGTGTCATCTGTTACACATGTCGTGAACTTTACTTTTTCTCAATTGTTCTCTGCAAATCTGTCAAAAGTTATGCCCTCTCCTTTCACAGATATGCTTGGCACAATTTCACATTTTGATTCTGATTCGTGGTTAATGTTTCTTTTTTACAGGGTGCCTTCACAGATCACCATTTTGATCAAGATTTAAATTTTCATGCCACTGAGGAGGATCCTGTTACAAAGAAGGTTTGTGTTTTACATTTTGTTTTTTGTAACCACTGCTTGTTTTTTGTTTGTTGGGATATAACAACTTATTGTTGTTTTAATACTTTCTTGCTTTCTTTTTTGTTTGTAATCAGATGGATCCAATTTAAACCTTTTTTTTTTTTGCAGCCTGTTAAGAGACTGCTGATAAATATTAAGCCAAAGGACATCGGCGCTCTCATGTCAGGCTTTTCTGAGGAGGATCCCAAAATGTTATCAAATTTTAAGGATCTTCTAGATCGAATATTTGTATTGGATCCAGAAAAGAGGATGACAGTATCTCAGGCATTAAGTCATCCATTTATCACGGGCAAGTGAAATAAGATGCTGATTTTCCTGACTCTAGAAATGTTGTTCAGCTATGAGTCTACCATGTGATCTATATTGATATTTCCCATCTAATTCTTCGGCGTTTATTCTGTCTTTTCACTGCTTGGTGGAGCTTGGTGGATCGCGTTGAAGAGGAGTTGAAAGGATCATTTGTTTTAAAGCCTTTCTTCATGGGAGTTCTTAACATGGGATGTGTTTCTGTTTCTTGTAAGACAACTCGCCGAAGGCGTTTCATCTTTTGTAAATCGTTCTTCATCATGGCCTTTGAAGATATAAAACTGAATATTTGTTTTAATACTTGATATTTGATCTTTTCTGTTCTACTCAGCAGTAACCAGTTCTAGAAATGATAATCCATAAACAGTTTCTTGTAAGTTTGACTTTATTAGGGCATAACAGCAAAGACTGCTGATGTGGACATGCATCCACATGATTTGCAAATTATATTCATCTAACTTGCAAACCTTGTCTGGCACACTGTCATATAAGAATAATTTACTTGTCAGTTTGATGGGTTGATTGGCTTGTCTATTTGAATTTCATGTTTCACATAATTTTCATATTGTGGTATATGTGATTGTTTACTTCCTGCAAAGTCTTTCATTTATCATAGTGTGTTTGGGCATTGGAGAGCCTAATTCCGTCTTTCCTTCAGGGTTCTGCCAGGGCTATGTGGCTATCAACAGTGTTTTAGATGCTAGAAGACAACCAAAAAAAGGTACCCTGGTTTGTTTGATGGACAACTTAATGTGTTAACAGAACTTGAAAGTAACATTTTTCTGATTGCAAAAGACTCTTCTGCCCCAAAGCCTTTAGGAAGCTTTATTTGAAGGGTGGCTGTAAATTTAGTTTTGAACCCTAATGTTTCCTGAAATTTAATCTCTTTCTTCCCTTGTGATTTTAAGATAGTGATTGATATAAGATTCAATTTCCTTTCTCTGTAGTTTGGCCTTTTAGCCTGTTATTTTCTTTTTCTATTGTAAAATCGCTTTCTGGAATTGATAAATTCCTGTTATAATATAAAGCTCTGAACAAATTGAATTGACAAACTTGAGGTTTTATGCTATCCATTTTTAGTTTTTCTTTGTAAAGAGTAATTTGTATCTGCCTTTTTTTACTCGTTATGCTGTCCAAAGCTTTTCAATTCTGATATTTGCTTTGGTATTCTTGCGGCCTTTAGATGGGAGATTGCTGGAAGCATTGCTTGTGCTGTTGAAATCAATGGTAATTTCCATTCATCTTTTCTTTTCCCTTTTTAATGGATAAGGTTTTTTTACTTACATGATCCCTCCTTATGTGAAACTTTTACATTCAACAAAAGCTATATTTACATGACACTCTTTCCTAGGTTTGTTTGCTAACCTTCCAACAATTCAGTTTGTTGCTTACGTCTGGTCTACTTTATCTGTCTACAAATGATGGGACTTGGCTTGAATTTTCAAATAAGATGTTAAAAATTTGGGATGGTATAGTGAATCACTTGCCTATAGATTTTATATACTTCAATTTTTTTAAGCTTGAATCAATGGAATTCTATATATGCCTGTCATGGAGTTTCAGTTGCACATTATGATGTGTCTATGACATGTCTTTATATTTCATTACAACACCACCTTTGGATTCTTTGGTTCATGTTAACAAATTTAGGATTGCTGTTCACTATTCAGCTTGTGCAGCTAAGGCTACTATTACTGTTGGTAATTGGTAGAATACTTTGTAAATATGGATGAGCCTTGTTAAAGAGGTGAACCTTTTCTTGTACATTTGGCTCAAATGCAGCAGCACCTATATCCCTTTGAATATTTTTTTCGTAGTTTTTTATGATGTCTATCTTTTCTTGTGTTTCCTTTTCTTCGATCCTCTCTTTCTTCTTTCTCTCATCACTATGCTGCTTTGCCACCAACCTCCTCCACTTTGCTGTCATTGCTTTGCTGTATGGCAACTTTATTCCTTTACTATCCTTCATGCGTGTTGCTTTCCCTCTAGTACACCTTTGCCTAGGGTTTGATTTACTGATGCGTATCGCTCGGTATGGGTGGTACGTACCAGTCCGATAGGATATCGGTACGCGGACCGCCCTCTATTGGGCGGTATCGGTTAACTGAAACTAAAAATGGGTATTACATGGTTTATTATAGTGGAGCCAAGATTTTTTGGCTATTTGCCATTTGCCTGAACTAGACAGGTTAAAAGGCAAATATTCATTTGGCCTTTGTGATATCAGCCTGCCCCCTTCTGTTATAATAGTGAAAATTGACAATATTAGGGTAAATCATGTTAAAAAATTTGCTATAGTTAATGAAATATTGAGTTAGATTAATTAAAAGAGAACAAGGATATCATTTATTAGTCAAATTATCCCTTTTTTGTACTAGTGATCTTGTAGGAGTTGGATGATCTTAGATGTATTCGATAATTTTCACTCGAAACTCATCCTTTAAATTATTTTTTAAATATTAATAAGTAGCATATGAGTTCATTGAAAGATTTGCATAAGATTTATATTGATTACAAAAAAGCCTATAATAGAGTTCCTATAGTTATATTATTACGAGTTCAGAATAGAAAGATATATTTCCTTGATGTCATAAAAGAATGCATATGTTAGTGTAGTCATTAGTGTTAGACCTATAGGGTTTGTGTCGAGTTAGTTTCCAATTAGTATAGGTTTACATCAAGGTTGGCTTTAAGTTTGGCCAATTTTAATTGGTAATAGATGAACTTACTTATCGTGTACATGATGAATCTCCATGATGTATTTTATTTGCTGATAATATTATTATAGGTGATGAGAGTTTAAATGAAATTAATTGTGAACTTGAGCTATAGATCTAAAGATAGTTGTGAAATTAAAGATTTTAAAAATCAAATAGGACTAAGATTAGACGTATGAGATGCAATTTTAGTAATACCAAGAGAAAAACTAAGGTTATTGTTAAATTTATGAAAAGAAAGTTTTAATAGGTAAAATTTGTTGGCATCTTTAATCGAATATTTAAGAAGATGGAGATGTTGATGCTTGTTTAGTGACTAAAAATCAGGTGACAAGAGTGGATAAAGATGCAAGGAGTTTTGTGTGACTACCTAGTACCTCATAGATTGATACGACATTTTATAAGATAATTTTTAGGCCAATTATGATGGATATGAGAATTGAGCGATTAAGAAATAATATATACAAAGAGTTTGTATCATTGAGATGAGAATGTCAAGATGGATATGTGTGATTAATAGATAAAAATAAATGTTTTGGTTTGTGAATAATTAAGTGTAACTTCGATAAGTGATAAAATGAGAAAGCGTTTAAGTTGATATGTGTGCGATACCTATAGATTTTGTAGTTAGAGAATGTGAGACAATTTTTATTAGTGATACAATGAGAGTTTGAGGAAAACCTTAGAAGTCCTTTCTGGAAACTATAAATAAATATTTAAACTCTCTTAATTTAACTAATGATATTTCTTTATGCATAGCTCAATGGCAGCAAGAGATTTATGTAGTCGATCCCAAATAGTTGGGATAATATGGCTTGTTTGTTTGGTTAGCAGGATATGAATTAGTTTTGGTGGTGTTTGTAGATCCTCCCAATTGAGGAATTCAATTTCGTTTGGAGCAGATCATATCAACCTGTGTTTGCTAGTCTATGCACAGATTGAGATGTGGAACATCCTTTTTCGGATGGTTTGAATTTGGCATAGGGTTTACCATCTTGTAACCCATTTGAACTGTTTGGTTTAGGCCTGAAATTGGACCTAAACAGGGCCATAAGAGCCTGGTCCACTTTTTTTTTAATATTTAGGGCCTAGATCAGTCTCATTCCAAGTGTTTTTTCAGAAGTGGAGAATGAAGAGCTATGAATTAAGTATGATGGAGGACTGAAAGAAAAATATTTTCTGAAGTGGCTGAACTCAAAAGTGGCCATTGATACTTATAATACTTATTATATTTTAGTGCTGGATTAGTTGATGGAGGTGAACAGTAGACTGTTGGTGAGAATGAAATGAGGGTTTTAAAGGATTACTTCTTCCGAATTCCAAACTGCATCTATGGAGAAGCTTTTCCTTATATATAATTGGAGACTTGGAAATAAACTGAAAAGCGGAGGTGAACCATGTCCACCAATTCGGTCCTTAGGATTGGGATCATTTGAAGAATTCAACTTATGGAGAGCATTGTTGTCGATGAACATAACTCTAGCATGGAGAATATAAACTCAAAGTTTTAATGTTGAAAACACTATGCAAAATTAAAATATATATGCTAACTTTTTTATTTTATGAATCAGGATACATATGATGAGATTAAATACTCATAAAACATGGTTTCAAGCAATGCTAATTATTATATTTGGTACATCACACAAATTGGGCGGTATAGTTCAAGGTTTGACGTACCATCCAAAATGGTATGAAATGGGTGTTAGGTATTGGTTTGCCAATTGGTTGATACTTTGACTAGTTCGCGTTGGACAGTACATAGAAAAGGATCAAGTACTGGTCGATATGATCAAAACTCATGCTGTATCGATCGACACGAATATGTCGTGGTTGGAATTTGATCGATACCGACTTAAATCGAGTCAAGTTTGACCCCAATAGTCAAATTGACCATTGGAGCCTCTTTTGGGGCTTTAAAATACAATAAAATTATGCATTTATTATGTCTTATATACTCTCTCTTCTTAATTAAATACAATAAAATTATCATTAATTTGGATTAAAAACCTAAAATAGTTTTTTTTTTGTGAATTTTCGTCCATTTTTAAGCCTCTTTCCGAAGAGGGCTGATCGGTATGTGCTGATATGTATCGGTCCACCTATGGACTGATAACAGTGGTTATTGACCATTTTAAATTTTTTAAAAATTTTTTAAAAAAATTAAGATTTACCACCTTGGTACAATTTAACAGTGGTTATTGACTGATCCGAAAAGGGCTGATATGGTACAATGATCCTTGGTACAATCTACCACCTTCTCATCCAATATCAATATTTTTTAAAATTTACGACAATTGTTGTAGAGCTTATTGGATGGTATGGAGTCCAAGTCGAAGGGTGCTGGAAAGTAAGCCTCCTTTGCTTGGTACCAACATTTTCTTTAAGATAGTTGTTGATTCTTTTTAACATTTTCCTCTTACTTTTTTGTCTTTTGACTCTTGCTCCCTATAGACCGTCATCTCCTCTTCCTCTCCTTGTGTCGTCACTGCCACCTTTCATTATGCGTGGCCACATTCTTTTCCACCTCTTCTCTTCCTCCCTCACACCTCTGCTTCCTCATTTTCTCCACCTCATCCCCTCTTCTATTTCTCTTTTGTTTGTTTAATTTTGCCCTCATTTAGGGGGGAGTTGTATTGGTTGACATGGGGGCATACTGACATCGGTATGCCCAACGATAGTGGTTCAACCACTATCGACAGTGGATCAAGATTTGAAACCTCGGTTTCAAGTAGAGATTGGGTATTTTTGTTATGTGAACTCATGATTGACTAGTTATAGATTACCATATTCAAGGTTTTAAATTTTGTTAAGGGATGTGTTGGCCGTCAGTTGGACTTGTATGGGCCTAATACATACTGGTGTATTAACACAGTACACTGGCCTACTAGTTGGCTTTGACAAAAGATTGAAGGGAATACGAAGAGAAGAAGAGGAAGATGAGGTGGAGTGAGAGAAGTAGAGTGAAGTCCGACTGAGGTAGCAGCAATGCAATGGGATGTGAACAGGCAGGGGCGGTGGAGCAGTGCGAAGCAGTAGTGAGAAGGAAGGCGTGGAGAAGGGAGAGAATGAGAGATAGACAGGGTCTAGTTACATGGGACGGAAGATTAAAGAAAAAGAAAAAGGAATGACAACCATAAAAAGAATGATAGGGGTACTAGGTGGTATGCTAATTACCCTGTACCCCCGGTTTTAACTATTAAAACCTGGTGGCAATCCTGGTTTGGTAGGGATGTTAGACAATTATTCTTCCTCTGAACCAGATTGGGGGAAATGATCCAATTTGTAATCCTTTTTCTGGTTGGAGAGGTAAATAGTGACTGGTATGAACTGGTCTAATTGGTTTTGTTATTCATGACTGTGGATAGGCTGTTCTTTGTCTGAATTCACCAAAGCAAAACATAATTACGAGAGTTTGTCTGACCACTTCCAATGAAAGTGTTGGCCACTGTTCATTAAGTGCTTCTTTATACTGTTTAGTTCCATGTAACAAACAATTTAAAGTTATCAAATCATTTGAAATCATTTGTTAGATTTTGCTATCGACTTTCAGTGAACCAAACTGGTTCATGATTAAGCCTTGTGCTTCTGTTTATTTCTGATGAACCAGACGCACTATTGGAAAAGTCTTTGCTGGATTGTAGACTTTTCTGTATGCATGTATTGCCCATAGAAGGGCAAGCCTTGGTGCCATGACAAGTTTGCTTGTTTGCAACTTGGGTGGCCAGAGTTCAAGTCACAGAAACAACCTTGCAAAGGTAAGACTGTGTACATGGCAATCTGAGATCCCACACAAGTGAGAATCTCTATACACTGGGGTCATCCTTTGTTGTGTATTGTTGCCACCATTAATCATATGCTAAATAGGAGGCAAGGGATGGACCCATGATTTGTGGACTTCTTCTAATCTAGAGGATTTGATGAGTATTATTTTCATATTAATACTCCTTATGCGGCCAAGGCTACTGGCAAGTTGCCTTGATCTGTTTAATTTTTTAAAGAGTGCAAACATTTGGAATTATTGAAGTTTAGGGTGTTGGTTTTCCACGATTAGAACTTTAAATGCCCAGCTACAAGCAACTACCAAACTGTAATTACTTTTAGATGCCTATAAAGTGGGTGCTGACTTGCAGTTGTGACTACAACCTATAGTCAAATTGGAAAATTACCTATGAATAATGCCAATGCAAGTGATTTTTCAGACAAGTGTAGTAAATTTCTTCTATAGCGTGCAAAAATTGCATTTGCAATTGCAAACCGGTTCGAGGCAAGCAAATACACTTATATTCGCAAATCAATGCATTCCTTTTCACATGTAATTGCAGAAGCATAGGTGACCAAACATGTCCTTAATATGATTCCTGTTGTGCTAGTTGCAGTATGCTATTATTGAAATTTGAAAGGTTGTTCAGCTGTCAAGTTCATGTCTTCTAATATTTCACAGTTCATCATTATATTTTGGGGCTACTAATTTGAAGTTTATTAAGGGAGACAATGAACCCTTCCTTGAGAAGGAAAAAGGATTATGTAATTTTTCTCTTGTTTACTTGTTGAAATTTATTGGAAAGATGGCTTCACTCTCTGGGCAAATTCCGCATAGTGGGAGCCTTGCACTGGGAACTTTTTTAAGTTTCACTTTGTAGCCAATTTATTTAGAACACAAATTAAGGGGATGCATGAAAATAAGTTGCATGGGAATTAATTCAACAAATTACCTCAATAGGACCATATTTGCCTCTATGTTTCGTCAATGTGATTCCAAGAAGTAAACAAAGTAAAAGTGAATTATGTTTACAAGGGTAACCTTGTTGACACCGATGTGAGACAACCTGGTTTGCAAGATTTTCTTGATTTGAGCTCAACATAGTTTGTTTCATTTGGGAACATATGTTTTGTTTCTTTAACAAGGACATATTGTTAGTGAAAGGTACTCTAGTTGGTTATAACTGCAGACTTGCAGCTTTTTGGTTATATATTTTGGCTAGTTTGGTTTTATTTCATTTGGCTGAAGTTGCAGTGGTGATATCAGATTGTTGTTGTTTGTGAATTACAAAGGGTGAGAAGCTTCATTCTTTTTTCTTTGATTTTTGAATTACCAAGGATGAGAAACTTAAGCATCATCAATTTGTGGGGTCCATTTGTTGTTGGAGGATGAGCAGGTTGGTAAATTTCTTTGGGATTATGATTTTGTAATTCATTGCTGGTGCAATCTTTCTTTCTCAAAATTCAAGCAGCTTAATCGTTTCTACTTGGCTTTGATGCTTAATCATGTCACCTTGTTGTATTTATTTTTCTATGGCCCGATTGCCTTTTAATGCAAGCTTGCAACATTTTTTTTTTCACATAACAAGGTGCAGGAGTGCCTGTCCACCTTCGTCCATCTTTTCCCTTTCTTTGTTTTCTTCCATCAATCCATGTGCTGTATTCTCCTCCAACAATCAATCCAATGCTTACCTCTGTTCACAGCTGGAGTTGTATTAGATAGTGTCTTGATTTATTATATGGTATCACTTGTAGGTAGGACCAGAACAATTCATGAAACTTTTATTTTCAGGCATTACATTATCAACTGAATGCAAGAGAAGTTGAGTTTCTGTTGGTTGGTATCTGCTTCTGGTGCAATTTATCAACTTAATGCATTTTTACCACAAAAACGGAATCAACATACATGCTTTAATTACCATGGCAAATTTTTTGTCATCATGCAGTGAATATTTTGATGCACAGAGGATGTGTAAAATCAAACTTGCATATATACGTCTGTCTAGAATTATTGATGCTATTTTTAGTTTGATTGTATCAATCAGGTTCTTTTTAACTTCGGGTATTTCTTTCAAAACCATTGAGATTCTCACCATTTTGATGTCAGTAAAAAATCTACTAAGATTGAAGCGATCTTTTCATGTACTGTGTGAATGGTCATCCTTAAGGAGCATATCCAAATATTTATCATCACATGAGGTTTGATATTATTTGTGAAGTTGGGATGATCGAGTTTAGACCATCTTTGACTCAGGCCTGACTATTTGAAATAGTTCACCTTTCCCAGAGAGCTTTATTGGCTATTTGCTGACCTTTAGTGAGACAAAATGTGTAATTTTATTTTAAGTGTGAAGGAACTTGGAATTTTCAAGCAGTGGCATTTGCATCTGGATGATTAGTATAGTTTCTCTGCTACAGTTCTGCTTGATCTTCACCATCTTTTTTAGTAGTTGCAACTAGATTATAGAGATAATCTGGAAAGATGGAAGGGGGTAGAGATTGGAAGGAGGGCCATATTGTCTAGATCAGAAACATGGAGATGAAATGTTTGTACATTCAATCCTCTTTCCTTTGTGTCACATAAACATAACTAGGTCGACAGGATAGAAATTTCACTTGGTACTGGGACTTAATTATATATGCCTGGCATGGGACTTGTCTGTAAACCAAACCTGGCAGTCCTGGTGTGGGCTCATTTCAAGAAAAATTTTGAAATGATTGATTTTATATCTTTGTTGATGGTTTTTGGAGTTGTGATATGATTGATTTTATATCTTTGTTGATGGTTTCTGGAAAATTGTCCAGAGGTCTTCTGTGTCTAGTGGAAGTCATTTTTGCTTGTCAATTCTTGCTAGTTTAGAGATGAAAATAACTAATTTTTATTTTCGTTGTGACTAATATGGCCGTTTTACTTGTTAGTTAAAAATGAGTAATAATATGATTCTCCACATAGCTGGTTTAGAGATGAATTTTAAAATGAGTGAAGTCTGTTTGTATGATTTTCAGGGACTGTAATAACTAGTGAAGTGGAAAATTTTCAAATTTAATATAAAATATGCCTCGTAACTTTACAGAGTTAGTTTTCTTTAAATAAAGGACCTTTTATTTTGTGTTTTTCTAGGAAGTTGGAAAAATAATATTATGCTTGATGTCTGCCGAGGAACTGGGAAGACTTGGGGTATTGTGGTAGCTCTAAGAATTTTGCATTTGCTAACAATACTTTTGTCCTGTCAAGTTATTCGGTTTAACTGCACCATACCAAGATACTCAGATTGCCATCTCTTTTGCTCGTGTATTCGCCGTGTTGCTGTTGCGAGCAAAGGTATGTTTGCCAATGCCAATGTGCCCATTTTGTGCTCGGTGACGTAGCATCTTGTATTTTCAATGGTTTCTTTATTTTTGGTGCCTAAAGGCGCATTGCTTTTTTTCAGAATTAAGAGAATACTGTGTAAATACTCATTCAACCACGGCATTTCTTTCATGAGACTTATTTATCTATTGTATCTTGTGCAGATGTGTGGAAGTTGTAAGTGATGAATTTAGGCGAAATGGCGCACCTATCAGATTTGTTTGTCAATTTGAAATGGGACAATAAAACTCTCAATTAATTTATCATAAATAAAATAGTGAAATAATCTTAATTTTTCTTTAGACACTTGTGATCGATAAGTTTAAGAAAATTTAAAATAAATACACTTTTGCCTCGACGATGTGTTGATTTATTTGTCTTTTGAGTGAGCTGTATAATCATGTACGTAGTTATTCAATCCTGACGAGGAGAAAAAGCATCCAAAATCAATTCTGATTTGCAAGATTGGGTCATTCCCGTTTGGCATCAAATGTGACCCTCAATCTTTCCCATCGATGGGTGGAAATCGGGGTAATGGTTTTAAATAATTAGAAATTGGATAATATCAGATATTATCCAATTTGGAATGACTGGCTCTAGGAATCGAGGGTCGATGAATAAATCATTTTATTCCATCGTTAGCCTGTGGCCTAATTAATTAATCAATATTATCATTGCTGTAACTAGCCAAAATAAAATTATTTCTTATAATAAAAAAATGAGATGAAAGAAACATTTAAGCTTTGATTGACGGACCCTCCTTGAAAGAGAAGGACCCTTCAAAAATTGGCGTATGCTGCCATAAGTGGCGAGCACACGGTATTCTTTAGTAAAAGGCGAAAGAATAGTTCGCTCTGTGCTCGCCACTCTGCTGCGTGACCTTTAAGTTGCGAGGTGGAATCCCTTGTGAAGCAGCTCCGCTCGAAGCTCTCGTTAAAGCGAGCGATGTGGGTCTATTTCTTCTTGCAGTAAATGAACCAACATGGCTTTGGCCTCCTCTTGTGATTTGGTGGCTCGGCTAAGGCTCGTCGTAGAAAGGAAGGCAAACCTATTGCCTTAAGAAACCAGTAATTAGACTGAGAAGGCTATGGTGAGCAATCTGGCTGTCGTGAGGCTCTCGTCAAAAGCTCACCGACTTTTTGCTGGATCATTCTATCAACCAACTATCAAATTGGCTTGATAGGCATGAGAACTAATAGGGTAAATATTTACCACATTTAGGACTCGATACGTGGTAGCCCTATCAACCAACGACCAAATTGGTTGGATAGGCATGAGAACTAATAGGGCAAATATTTGCCTCAATTAGGACTCGATACATAGTAGCACAAGGAGTATAGCGGTCAATTGTTGAGGGAATATTTTGTACATTTCTCAGAATATTCCCTCAAGTTAAATCGAATATAGAAAGTCTATCAGGCCACACAAATCTATATTAGTTAATGTTTACTCAAAACTCTCATTTTCTATCTTGGGACTCTTTAGACCATCGAAAGGATCACGTTAAGAACCTTACTCGACCTTGATGTTGGTATACATCAGGCACCACCGAGTGGACGCTCAAGCCCCTTAACTTGATCACATCATACTTAATACATATGTGGAACCGAATCTAATTGGGTTGATTTGGACATAAACGATATTATCCTTATCATTTTAGCATAAGGAGGAGGGATTGATATAAATATCATTGATATCATTTCTATCATTTTGATGCTAGAAGAAGAGACTAATATAAATATTATTGAGAAGGATGCATCAGATGTATTTTCATCATCATGTGCATTTTTCAAGTAGGCTCCAAAGGTCAATCAACTTTTGCCTTGGTTAACACTTTAACGAAGAAATTTATTAAGTGTTGAGTTGGTGAGGGGAGATCGAGTGAAAAAATTGAGTGGGAATCTTGATGGGACTTCTGGAAGTCGAAATGATGGCCTAAGGCTATACGAGGGCCCCCTCCATAATTTTGGGGTTGACTTTGCATCGTGAGCCCTCACTTGCCTTCTTTGAGCCTTTTTACCTCTACTCTCCTCTCAGGCATCCAAAACACAGTGCTCGAGCCTACTCCATTGTCAAGCTAGGAAAATGTTCTCTTTCTTATCATATGAGTCTTGCTCCGTCAGTTAATACATAGCCAAGAGAGTAGAAGTTTTATCCTTGGATAGCTTGAGGATAAGAAAGAGTGCATCATTCTCCTCGGGGATTTTTAGGTTATGAAAGATTTCTATGATCATGATTTTGTCCAAACTCTCAAGTACCTAGAGCACGGACAAGTCTCAAATGTAGGTACCTTAGGTCGAGCAACATCTATATGACCTGATGTGTAAGAATTTGTATATGTACGTTGATGCGTTAGAGGTTCAGCGTCAATTCCCTCTCTATCTACGAATAGTGGTGTGTCATCTTAGATGATGCTCAACTCGTGGTGCTAACTTGTGGTGCTATCTCAGTACTCCAATTGTGGCTTCACACATGTTAAGGAGGACATGAAACAATTCGAGAGAATGTTCCACCCATATCTCAAAATATTTTCTCTAGTTAAATCAACTATCAAGAGTCTACAAAGCCAAAGAAATTCATGTTAGTTATTGTTTACTAAAATCTCTTTACCTTTGTTAATTACTCACTCATGTATCGGAGGGACTATGTCGAGAAACCCTTGTGCTTATCCCAAACGGGTTCTAACCTTGACAAACGACATTCTTGTAGTCGTCTTTCTTTGATGTCACCCTCAAAGAGGTGTGCTTACCAACTCTTAACATAAATGAGCCCCTAGACGATGTAAGGGGCTCCTGAAACCAGTCATCGATCACACTCCATCGATTGCTCAAGTATAAAAGCTAGCCCCAAAACTTAAAGGAACAATCACATCTACTATTTTCTACCTTCTAACTAACTTTACTATCATAGGAGTCGGGTCGAGAACATCCCTCGACACTGATCGCTTGTGCAGGGATCTCGACGAGGCTAAGACGTACCTCGGGATGACACCAAAATCCGCCTCTAATGAACAAGCAGCGCCTTGGCATCGTTCCAATCGAACCAGCTTCCCACTCCAATCTCTATACATGGCCCCCCGTAGGCCTCTTAGATGAGCTTGCGCCTTGGGGACTGACCCAAACTATGTCAACTTTATGGTCAACAATATCAACAACAACAACAACCATATCAACCATTTCCATAACAAGTCATGCTTAAATTAGCTCAAAGGAATTTAGAGACATGAATACATGTTGGGAGAGACCTTCCTTTCTATCACTTATCTTTTAATATGAAATATAATTTAGTTGGCAAAAATTTTAATAGTTTATTTGAAGATTATGGACTCAATTTTATTTTTATCACTTATCTTTTATAATTTTTTTAAAATACCAGCCTCATTTATAATGCTTGCATGAGTTTACATCATTATTTGATTGATTGGTTGGACCTAATTGGGGACATGTCTTTTACTTTGGTTAGGTGGGAAGGAAAGTTAAAGCTGATTTGGATGATAAGCACACGCTATTCTTTAGTAAAAGGCGAAAGAATAGTTCGCTCGAGGCTGCTCCCTTCACACCGCTCAGGAGAAGCGAGCGCTGTGGGTCTATTTCTTCTTACAGTAAATGAACCAACGAGGCTTTTAGCCTCCACTTTTTAATGTCTCTCGGCTTAGGGTTGTCGTAGAAAGGAAGGCACACCCATTACCTTTCACAAAACCTGTGGTTAGACTGAGAAGGCTATGCTGAGCAATCTGCCTCTTCCAAGTCTCTCAGTCAAAAGCTCACCAACTTTCGCGCACCTTTCTTTTAGGAGCATCCAACAATGAGCACGTCACGTTGACTGGAGGATAAGCATGGCGATGAGGTCAGATTTTTTTTAATATTAATTTTTTATCAATAATTTTTTCGATCCAACAATGGTTAGATTCAAATAAAAATCGAACCGATCAAGAACTGAAATCGAATTAGATTAATAGTTCGATAGTTTTGAATGGAACTCGAACCATGTTTCGATGTTTCAGTTTTGATTTCTAAAATCTAAAACTGGCTAAAAGAATACAAAAAATTAAACAATTAAATGCCCTTCCAAACGATGAATCTATCGTTTTTAATAATTTAATAATTAGATAAATATTTCAAAAAATATATATTAAAATCTAAATTAAAATAAATGGTTTCGATTTGAAACCAAAATCAAAACAGTTGGTTTTGAATCGATTGAAATCAATTTATTTTGATTCCAAATTCAGTAAAACTAGAATCAGAGTCAATGCTTTCGACACAAGAGGAGCTTACTATAATTTTCTCAATGTGATAAAACAATATTTTTTTAGGTAAATAATTGATTATTAGATTCCA